GGTGTGACTGGAGGTAGTGATGAGAAAGCTGCTTTGGGTCTGAGAGATCAGTGCAGCCATATTGAGAAACAGGCTAAAATTACTCAGCACCAATCAGCACAACCAGAGGTTGGTCGTATGAGAAAGTGCGCCACCGCTTCGGGTGGAGGAGGAAATACACTCATATTCATTACAGAAAAGAGAGGTAAAACATGCCCACAGCACAGACGGCATGTAGCAAACACGCATGGGGACCAACGTGCAAATGGCCGTTCATATTCGGCTTACTTTCTGGTGGCACGCGGTCTTTGTGAGGGCAGCCGGACAAGCTTCGATGGTGAGGATAGAGTCCAGTGACATGCCCCGTGCCATCGCAACCTGGGGTTGGACACTTGCTTTCTTTTTTCTCTCCCCTTGAGTCTATAAGCAAAGACAGTTATTGGCATATCCTGTTACAGGCACAGTAAGCAAATTCCATTAACCTGCTGGATTCTTTGTGATAACATTTATGCTCCGGTTACGGCTATTTTCAAACACTGTCTGTTTGCTTTGAAATTGGACACTGGATAAAGAATACAGCTTGAATGAGACTTGTGGCTGAGATTGTATTGGATTGCAATTCAGAAAAATGTAACAGTCACGGCACAGAGGAATTTCATCAGTCGGACAATAAAAAAAGATTTACATCATTAATTTCAATTAATTGTCTATTTATTCCCTGATATGTAGAATGTGTTTTTTAAATATATATTCTCATTAAAATGTAAATCCGTAAGGAATAACTGACGACAGGGCTGTTGAATGATTAGAAAATAATGCACACCGAGGTGATAATGGTTGTGCATTATTTCCTAACAATTCAATGGATTGGAGTCAATTATTCCGCTTATACTATAGCTACCACCACACGCGAATAAAAGCCTATCAGGAAAATGTTATAGTTCATTAATTTTGTGATTGAGTTTTCTGTACTAGTGACAATTGTAGATATAATGGCAGCTAATGAATAATATAATATGATATAATATAATATAATATAATATATAATAAAACAGCACTTCCAACATATGTACATATCTGTGGGTGATTATTGTAACAATCTATAGTATGAGGGAATAGGAAAGAGGAAATAGGAATCAGAGTCTTTACATTATACATATAAATGTATCAATGATTTCATCTCATGCCATTTTATTCTACAAAGACATTTTACTCCAGGTTAACGTGTTCATGTGTGCTACTGATATTAAATACATGCAACCAATTCAGATTCCTGCTGTTAAATAGGTTAACGTTTCCACTATAACAGTTCCCCAATTTTATCTTGCAAATGAAAACTCGCAAGAAAAATAAGTTTTTTCGTGGCTGCATTTATCAGTACATGCATTCTCTGTTATTCAAACCGGTTTAGCTAAGTGAACACATTTGAAATATCTTCCCTCTTTTATTAGCCAAAAATAACTGCTGTAGAACTCCACAAGCATGCAATAATAATGCTCCCTGTCAGTCAGAACAGTGAGATCACTCGACATGTTTAATAACGACGCTCCAATAATTAGTGCCAAGAATAGTTTCTGGAGACGAGGTGTGAAATCATGGTGTAATTCTATAATTACACGACCCTCTGACTTGCTGTGGTCGTGCACTGAAAACAACAGCAAACTGCTCTACGATAGGAAGCACAGAGACGCTCTCTTTAATGGAAAACATAGTGCAAATTGAGCAAATGGAAGGAAATGAAACATACAAAGCAGTTCCATCTGAGCAGAGACAAATGATGAACCTTTTAAAGTACCAGATAGGAAGAGCTGTTAGGTTGGGTAACCAGAGGCGATCTGAGGATCCTCAACACTGTAACGTACATTTGTTAAATGTGATATTGATATGCTCCTGTAGTTTCTGATTGCTAATATCTGGATATATCAGAGGAGGTGGCTCATTCCCAAAGGTAGTGGGTGTGGATTGGGAAGGATTTGAGGTAATAAACCATGTATGGGATCCAAGGGATGAGATTTGCTTTCTTAACGGGCCGTGCAGAATGTCATTACTCATGCCTGACAAGGTAAGTCTCTGATGTTACCATGCCAGCCTATTTTAGCAGCGTTAGCTGTTGTCATTATGGAAGTCGCTACCAGGGTGACCTGAGTATTTAAAACAAGCCCCAAAAATGTTTCCGTCTCACCAAAGTGACCCCATAGTCATCAATGTCATCGGCGCAATGTGTGACGGAATGTTAAGTGACCCAAGACACTGGGGAACAAATGCCGCAACAGCTTTCAGGACGAGAAAATGATATTCATATTCAAAAGATCTCTGTTTGTGTAAGTATGCTCCTTTATGGAAACTTGATTCCACCTCAGAAAAAATAAAAATGTTAACTGTGCAAAATGTTTAAAGTAAGAAACAAAAAGTCACACTAGAATATATAAAGTCGCATTTACGAGAAATAAATTCACATTGTGATGTTTACTGAAAAATAACACAAATAGAAGGAATTAAGCTGCATTTGTGAGATATAATGCCACATTGTGAGATTTAAAGTCACAACTACCAAAAATAAAGAAGTACATAGGATAGTACTGACTTTATATATCACAAGTGTGACAGAGTAAAAAATAAAACTGGTAATTGTGAGAAAATGTTTCAGAATAAGAAATAGCACGTCACATTGGAATATATAAAGTCACATTTGTGAGAAAGAAAGTCACATTGTGATATATAATATCACAATTAGGAAAAATAAAGTCACATTTTTGAGATATGAAGCCATATTGTGAGACATAAAGTCAAATTGTGAGATATAATGTCACAATTAGGAGAAATAAAGTCACAATTGTGAAATATAATATCACATAAAGTCACATTTACCAAAAATAAAGAAATAAAATAAGGAAATTCTGACTTTTTATCTCACAGTTGTGACTTTATATCTAACAATTGTGAGAAATTACCAAAATAACCTTTTTTATTTGTTTCCTCAGTGGCAGAATATGGCTTACATATTCTGTATAATGAAGGGGAACTATCTACTGAAATCTCTGCTGAAACGCAAAATCTCATTAGAAGTTTTATTTTTACCTTTAGGGTAATATGCTCTTTTTGCGCCATCATGATGGAGTCGGGCCCTGCGTTCTTCTGCACTGCTGCTCTGCCTTGGGCTGTGCTCTCCATGAAGGCGCTGATTGTCCCTCCGAGCCACCATCTGTTCTGATGCCATTCTGTCTCGCATAACCTTGGCACGCTCGGATTCCAGAGCAATGGCCTTTTCCAGCAGCGACAGGTTGCCTTTAGTCATGTCGAAAGCTTCATCGGAACGTTCGGAGGCCACTGACGTAGTGTCCTCATCCCCTTCCTGGGCGCAGCTAGAGGGGTAGCCTCTTGAAGCAGGGCTGAGCTGCTCCTCCAGTTTCATCAGATTGACCATGTCTGAGTAATTCCTCTCAAGGGGTCTGTGCTGGTCCATCTGGCAGCTGTCATACCTGGGCATGTGATGCATTGGAGGCTGCTGCTGCTGCTGCTGTTGATGCTGCTGATGCTGATGCTCCATCTGGTGCTGCACATGGACCTCCATCGTGTACCGCTCGGACGTTTGGGTCTCATTGAGTTTGCGGGCCAAGTCGAAGCACTGGTTGCGCAGACACTCCAAGCTACTGAGACACACTTCCTCCTCGCTCTCCTCCGTCTGGCCCCGTCCGTTAGTGTGGCCAGCTGAGCCAGGATCCCCAGACCCGGCGTCTGCGTATCCCTCGTCAGGAAGCACGGCTCCGTGTCCCTGGGCCAGAAGTTTTAGGGAGTCCACGGTCTCGCGTACCACATCGCTATCCAAGTCGACGCTCAACTCTGCCTTATGGCCTCCTTGTTCACTCCCCTCATATTCATCCTCGTCGTCATCCTCACCTGCACTGTTGGAAGAATTGCTGTTCATCTCTGACTCAGTCATGGCCTGGTAGGCGGCATCCTCTGCAATTTTACCAAGGTTGAGAAGAGACTTGGCCACCAGCTCGTCATAATTCTCATACTCCTCATTGTTAATGCTGTTGTTATTGTTATTGTCCTTCTCAACTATTTGATTGGATTTTGATTGTCCGCCTCTAGAATAATTGTCGTCTGAAGAGAAAAGAGAACAATTTGTTGGTTAAATGCAAAAATTACAAGGAATTTGACAACACTTTATTTTAATAGGCCACTTTAGACATTCTGCTGACTGTGAATAACTTTGCAACTACGTCAAATACCAATCTTTAGAGTATTAGTGGAGAGTCTGTGTCTGAACACTATTTTGATGTTCCTCCAACAGACATTCTACTGACTATAAGTAACTTTGAAAGTACATGTCAACTTATTCTACTAACCCTAACCTAACTGTTTACGAATACTCTACTAATTATACCCATTATACAACATTAGGAAGATCAGGCCCTTTCTTTCAGAACATGCAACACAACTCCTTGCTCAAGCTCTTGTTCTGTCCAGGCTGGACTATTGCAATGCTCTCTTGGCAGGTCTTCCAGCCACTTCTATCAAACCTCTACAATTAATCCAAAATGCCGCTGCAAGAGTAATCTTTAATGAACCTGGATAAAAGCGTCTGCTAAATGACTAAATAAAAAAATAAAAAAATAATACGCTAATAAGAGTTAGTTGATGTGTAGTTGCAAAGGTAATTATAGTTAGTAGAATGTCTAAATAAATACTTAGTAGATATTCAAAATAAAGTGTAACCTTAAAGGTTAGTTCACTTCCAGAATAAAAATGTCCTGATAATTTACTCGCCCCCATGTCATCCAAGATGTTCATGTCTTTCTGAAACACAGAGACTCGGAACAGGGTACAGGCTAAATAATAACCAGCAATGTGTGTGTGGATGAGTGCAACCTTTATGGTGTCACTGATAGGAAACAGGTGTGGTGCAATAATGAGTTCCTAGGCAGGGGTTTATGGGGAATGGAGTCCAGAGAGAACCAAGACAAAACCCCTTATCGTGAAAATATCATTTGTCAAACACTAGACACATCAGAATCAATTCAAACTTGGTGAGCATGTCTTTGGTCAACAAATGTGGTACAGTGGTTTGAATACAGTGTTGTTTGGGTCAGCTATTCCATATTTCTCCTACAGACAGCCTGTTTATCATCCATCCTGATGTGAAAGAGACTTTAGCAGATCACAGGCCAGTTGTGGCTTTGGAAAGCACTATTATCACACATGGAATGCCTTATCCTCACAATCTCAGGTAGCGAAATGTGATAAATCTCTTACAGTGCTGTCAAATACGTAACATGTTGAACTTTTCCCTCAGGCCATTCTAAAGTCAGGGTTGTCACATGACTTTATCTTAAAAACAGTACAGACATTCTTTTTTATTATTGCACAAGGTTTTTAAAAATAAAATGTGGAAAACTTTTAATCTGTACACTGATTCATATCTGAAGGATTCAGTATTTACCAATCGACTGCATTTCCTCTGTATTTCAGTACAGCAAAGGAAGTGGAGGCGATTGTGAGGGCTGAAGGTGCAATCCCTGCAACCATTGGGATTCTTGAGGGCAGCATTCATGTGGGCCTTTCTTCAGATGAACTGGACTTCCTGGCACAAAGCAAAATGGCATTAAAAGTGTCCAGAAGGGACTTGCCTTATGTCATCAGCAAGGTCTGGAGCTGAAGTAATCTTTATTTGTAACTATGTGATTATACATATTCATGTGAAATGTCTGTTTTTTGATAATCTAGGGTTTGTCGGGTGGCACAACTGTCTCCGGCACAATGATTGCGGCTCACAAGGCTGGGATTCCTGTTTTTGTAACTGGAGGCATTGGAGGAGTACATAGAGATGGAGAAAACTGCATGTTTATTTTCAAAATTGTTCTTTTATCCATGTGAAATGTATACTGGCCTGTATTTAATGACCAATATATTATCTCTTGTAGCTCTGGATGTGAGTGCAGACCTCACTGAACTGGGTCGAACCCCTATTGCTGTTGTGTCTGCTGGGGTGAAATCCATCCTAGATATCGGTCGCACTCTTGAGTTCTTGGTAAGACTTTAAAGGATTAGTTCACTTCCAGAATAAAACTTTCCCTTATAATATACTCAACCCCATGTCATCCAAAATGTTCATGTCTTTCTTTCTTTAGTCAAAAAGAAATTAAGGTTTTTAAGGAAAACATTCCAGGATTTTTCTTCATATTGTGGACTTGGGGTCCAATGGGTTGAAGGTCCAAATTGCAGTTACAATGCGGCTTCAAAGGGCTCTAAATGATCCCAGCTGAGGAATAAGGGTCTTATCTCGTATTATTCGTATTGTTATATTGTTCTATAAAAAAACAAAAATGTATATAATTTTTAACCACAAATGCTCATCTTGCACTAGCTCTGCGATGCATGTCTCCGACTTCACGCATTACGTAGTAACGTTGGAAAGGTCACGGCGCAGCAGTTCTTCGTTTGTGTACTTCGATTATAAAAGGTAAAATCCCATTTTATCCTCCAACTTCAAAATCGTCCGACATCATTGTTTTACCTTTTTTTTGTAAAGGGCTTTTGTCTCTTTGCACGTTTGCTTTGTAAACACTGGGTCGGTACTTCCACCTACGTCATGCATAACCTACGTAACGTGTATACAGCGCAGCTGCGCTCAAGGCGACCCGAGTTCGATTCCTGTCTCGAGGTCCTTTGCCGATCCCGCTCCCCTCTCCCCTCCCAGTGCTTTCCTGTCGTCTCTCTACTGTCTTATCTCAATAAAAGGCATAAAAAGCCCATAAAAATAACTTAAAAAAGAAAAAAGAAAAAGAAAATGACGTTCGTTTCCCTAGATAAGACTCTTAATCCTCGGCTGGGATCTTGTAGAGCCCTTTGAAGCATGCATTGAAACTGCAATTTGAATCTTCAACCCAATGAAGTCCACTATATGGCGAAAAATCCTGGAATGTTTTCCTCGAATGTTTTCCGTTTACCTTCGTTTCGACTGAAGAGAGAAAGACATGAACTTCTTGGATGACATGGGGTTTGAGTAAATTATCGAGAAATTTTTATTCTGGAAGTGAACTAATCCTTTAAGATTTTCTAAACCGCTCCAAAAATACATCCTCAAATACGTTGCACACTAGGGCCTTCCACCCTGGTAACAGCAAGCGGCTTGTGCGGCATGATAAATTCACAAACGAAATGTCAGTCCTCTCTATAATCTGAAGCGGCCTGAACACTATCATTATGAAAATGTAACGTCTCATGAACGATAGCATTGATGCAGCAAATCTAAGACAAATGTCACGCCAGGGTTTCGCATACAGCTCGATGACACAGGTACAAATAGATTTAAATAATCAAATGCAATTTAGCAAGATGGTAACTGCCACTATGTTGCTGAAATATATTTAAGCATTCGGCAAAAGAAACAGATGAATTTTAGAGAAACTGCAATATGGTACATGAATTATCAGGCAGCCTTTTAAATGTTTTACCAGACATATTCGTGTTCGATAACATGTAAGCAGCACAGGCTGCTCTGAAAGCCTCTCAATTGTACTGAAAAGATTTTAGTGTTGCTAGTATTTGGGACAGAGGCGGATGAGACTGCAGGGATAAGCAGCGGATGAGGTGCTCTGTTTCTGGAGCCAGAAATATCCTCAGGAGGAGCCCATTTTCACCAGGGAGGGGTGGGGGCTGAGTGTATTTGACACCTCCTGGAACGGCGTTGTGCGGGTGAGGAGGGGGGCCAAAGTTAATAACTCAGAGAGCCTCCTCTCTCTATTACTCTGGAAGCACTGTCACAAGCGATTGAGGACACCAGAGAATGAGGGTGAGACGCATACTAAGGAAGCAGTCACATCTGCTTTCCCTCAGTTTCGAAAGAGGAGTTGGATTGTTCCATGCTGTAAAATTTACATTAATTAGGATGGCGAAGGCTGGCCATTCTCAGCAGGGTATATGTAGATTTCATTCTGATTCAGCAAATTACACATACTGTATGACTTGAAACTAAAACAGGCAATTTAAGAAATAAAACATTGACTTTAATGACTGCATATTCTGTCAATTATACTCTGAAATGTCAGTTGACCTACAATAAGCTGCCCTTGATTCATATTTAATGAGGCATTCTGTGTGTAAGAGCAATGTCTTTCTGTTGATTCTAAACATTACATTTCCTACTGACATTTTCCAGAATGTTTGTATAACCAAGGAAAAACATTTAAAGCTTCTCTGAAAAATCTTGTAATAACATGAATAGAATAATCTTTCAACATTATCAGACTTGATAAAGTTTTATCATTCAAAAAAAAAAAAAAAACATATCCATGAGTTAATTAATCAAGTAAGAAATGTCTTTAGAATATGGTTAAAAATCATAAGATATTTTATTTTTCAAACATACATACTTTTTTATTTAATGTTCTAAGAACATTGTCTCGATAACTACACAAACATTCTGGAAAATGTTAGCAGAATATGCAATCAATCTAAAAAGCCTTACCTTGCTGATGACTCAGATTTTCATAGTATTCCTCTTCTTCATGCTCATCTTCATCGTCCTCCTCTTCATCATCTTCCTGCTCTTCATCATCCCCATCCTCCTCCACAACTTCCTCATCTTCTTCTACCTCTTCCTCCATTTGCTCTATCTCCTCTACCTCCTCTCTCTCCACCTCTCCATCTTCCTCCTCGTCCTCTTCTTCCTCTCCCGGTTCCTCATTGTCATCTGAGCACTCCTCTTCTTCATCGTCCCCTTCCTCCTCCTCTTCCACTTCCTCTACTTCTTCCTGTTCCCTCTCCTCTCCCTCCTCCATGGCCTCATAGCTTTCATACATGGTGGGCTCTCCATCAGCCATGGTTAGAAATGGACGGTGTTTGGAAGCTGGCTCCTGCGGAGGTTTCTCTTGGGTTTTCCTTTTCTTAGCCAAGGGGCATCCATACACACTGCACAACAAAAAGAAAACAAAAACCAAGAGAATTATACGCAACAGTCCTGAAAAATTACCTTGAATCTGTGAAGAGTGTCTGTGCCAAAGCTCAGCCCTTAGAGATAAGAAGTATTAGAATTGTTTAAGACATAACAAAGCATTAATAATCACTGGCACATTTATTCATGTAAATGCGTGTGCTGCTTGAACTCTGGTCCCACAAGACAGTGCTATTCCTAAACCGCCAAGACTCGTTTATGAGACTCATCCTCCAAAATATAAACAAGGCAAAACTCATTCTAGCCTTAGCCCTCAATTATACAAATCCCATAATAATCATTATGTTTTCAGAAATTCCACTTTAATTGCCCTAAAACAGCATGTGCAATTATATTTGGTTTGAATGTGCCATGCTTTGAATCAATTATTCAGTTTTCATACAAAATGGGTTGACCCCCAGGCTTACATACCTGAACAATACATTTGAGTAAAAAAAAAATTGAGCTTTTGACTAATTCAATGATGTATAATCTATGATAATGTGTAATATGTGAGAAAGAAGAAAAGTCCTGTGTTGCTGAACATAATCTGGCTCCTGGGGAAAATTATTTCTGAATTGCAAAAAAAAATAAAATCTTTAATGCATAGAGTTGTCTATTTTTTTCATTTGCTATGAATCTCAGAAACAAATCAAATATATATTTACATATATTTATATATCTGATACTGTGATTTTGAGCTATTACAAGGACGAAAGAACATTGAGGGTCTTTTTCAAAGTGTATTTCTGATTGCTAATACTTTTATTCATTTAACCTTATCCTCAAGCTTCCTTTAGGTCATAACCTCAAACCTTCAGCTCAGTTAACAACTGGGATTTGAGATTCACAGTAGATTGAGGCTTTGTATATAAACTGGGTTGCCTAGAATCAGAAAAACAAGCCATCACACACACTCACACACATTTTGAATGACGAGAGGACAATCAAAACGTGAGCTGTGTTTTTATAACCTGTTCTAGTGGCTCTTGTTCATCGGACTGTGAAACGTTCTAAATTCAGATCCTTTTGCAGGCAGTTATCTTTCTCATCCTCAGATACTGCCTTAATGTGAACAAACCAGAAAATGTGGAGTGAGGGCTGCTGGCAATAAATATTTGTATGCGACTTATAATACTGTATAACCGACAAGAGTTTGGCCTGAAAAAAAAAATGGCATGGAAATCAAGTTTGTAAGAAAAATGATGAGGACGATGAAGATCTCGATGAAGATGTTTATTGCAGCATATCAGTGATCATTAATTGGACAGAATGTCTGGTTATTATCAATAAAAATGGAGAAGTGATTTAGAGTTGTTGTAATGCATGTTCTCTTGTCTGACACTATTACCCTAGTAAAATTATTGTGAAGATTAGTTAAATGAATTTCACCAGATTCATAGTTAAGACTACTGTCCACAGTCTCTGAAAATAGTTTGATTTCTTTGTTTCTCTTTTCCATTGTCCATTAATTTCTATTTGGAAAAGTCCTTCTAGCTGTTGTTGCAGTTTGTGAAGTTCCATCAGGTCCATCCATGCCATTGTGGGTCTCAGA